ACAATACCAGTTAACTATTAAATCGGAATAAGACATATCCAAGTGACAACGTTAACCTCAGATAAATAGAGTTGAAGAAATAAATTGAAGAAATAACTACTTTGGTACACTGGTGATTACAACCTTCCCAGCCGGGCTGTGTACTTAAACCACTTGACAAAGTTAAGTGTGAAAATAGTAAAGTAACCATGCGGAATGATAAATGATAATAGGTTGATACAAAATAGCACTCTACTTTCAGAGAATATTGATTAATAACTAGGAAACTAATGCACGTTCAATTACTGTGCAAAAGTGTAACCAATGCACTTCACTGCAGAATGGGAGAAAGGTGGCATGAGGAATTGCAGTTGTCAAAAACACCTAGGCAAACCCAGACAGGTACTACCGTGCAGTGTATGTTATAACATCAGTTTTACAAGGGCAAAATAGTGCGAACTCCTATACGGTACATGTGAATGAGGTTTACATGATAACACGTATTATTAATAAATGCAACAAATGAAATTAAATAATTCAGTCCGGGCAACCTTCATCCAGGATTTCAGAAAAGGCCTTGGTGCTCATATAATAAACAGCAGGTGTGGTTTTTCTAAGTTCCGACCACATCATATCATTCCCTCTACATGGAATTAAATGTCCACATCTGAATTAGCACCAATTAGACAGTAATTGAATACGTGATGCAACTTTTTAGTTTTCACACTAAAAACTATTGGACAACGAAAACTTACAATTTTCAAGCCAGACAACAAAACTATACAAAGAGATAAAAATATATTGTTTTAATATGTAAAATATTTTAATCATCATATGATACTCACTCTCGTCCAGACGTCCATATAAGAATCTCTCTCCTTTCCAGTATTCCAAAGGCCTCATCCTGATTCTTTTGCTTCTTCTTACTCCATTTTCAAATAATGTACCAGATTCTGCAGGGTCACCAAGAGTATCATTACTCAAATCTCAAGGAAGAAAGAAAAGAAGGGTCCTGCCAGTAGATGAACAACACATACCTGCAAGACTTTTCCTCAGTGGATGTGATTTTCTAAGGCGTTTTTCAACTGCTTCTCGTTTTGCTTTCTGTAGCTTGTCTTGATTTATCTGAAATTTCAATAACGCATAAGTGTGATATGTCCATAATGGCTTTTGAATCAATTAAGTCCTTGCACTCTAATATGATTGATAATGTTGTTGAATAAAAACAACTTGAAAGATAATCCCAAAACACAGCAGCTATTTAGTCTCTTACAATGAAACCTATTCCTTTTACCCGTAAAAGCAAAACTCCTATTTAAGAAAATGAAAGGGGTGAACATCAGTTACTAATTCACGAAGTAGAATCAGCAAATTATCCCAAATAAGCCTTTTCCATTTGTGTGTTTGATCTTGTATATAGGAAGGTTAAAGCTCTGTAAAGAATTTACTACGACATTCAGCGCCTTTCACGGTTTTCAATTCTGCTCATTCAAACCGTTCCAGAGTATTTTTTAAATACACTCCTAAACACTCGTATCAACATGATTACAAGTCATTGTAAATTTATAAAATCAAGAACTACAGACATTGATAAGAAGCTTTGTATTGAAGTCCAACCAGCACAAATCAATGAGAATGATGTAGAAGAAATAACTAAGCAAGAAGACACCTCAGGCTCTTGTTTTTTATCAAACTGCTGACTCCTGGATGGGGCCTTTACCGCATCATCTTCAAGTGCACAACAATTCGATTGGTCTGTAAGGTAGAACACCACAAAAAATAAATTGATATTTATACGTCTTCACTATATCCTATTCATAGTTAAAAAAATAAAATAAAATAAAATTGCAGAAAAAAGGGAGGTTATCTCCTATTCGTCGCGTCAAACTATAGATATTACATCCCATAAAGCAATTTGTGTGCATCTTACACTGGATTTCTTTACTCATGTTTGCTTGCTTTTCGAAAAAACTACCAATCGAAGTGGAGGGTTTCCTCCAACAAGAAGCCGAATTAAGGTGATTCATTATTATTGCCACAAGCATCAAAACATAGGGATCCATCGACAAAATCATTCATCGTGTAACAACTTGGTTACTGACTTAATATATATCAAATCAAAGTTGAGAAGCAAGTGGCACATAAAACATTACAGAAGATAAATGTAGTGCTCACAGATTGAAGTTGGACGCTCAAACATCATAACATAACCTGCTATAAATCTCGTAAACATCAAGTCAATTGTCTTAAGACAGGAAATAGAGGTAACTTTAGCTGAAATTAGTTCAGGTTAAAATTCTTGTGTAACTCAAAGTTCACTATCATCTTCAAAGTCTCAATTTAATATTTGCTGTTTGCATTACCATCTTATGCATCATTTTATGGCTAAATAACGAAGAAATTTTAATAAAAGGGGTGTATGAAATAAGGCTTAGTGAGCTGAATTTTGAATTGAAAGCACATTGGCTAATGGCCACTGTGGCAACTACAGGTGATTATAAGCAATTCAAGACAGTTTGCTTGAATGCCAACTCCAACACCAATGAGATTCAAAGCAAAGATTTTGAGGTCCAATCACATGACCACTTCATCAAAATAACATTATAATTAACTCACTTAGGAACATTGCTAGCACGGTTCACAATGTCAAAATAGTCCACAGAAGGTAAAGTAACAACCATACCAAAAAGATTCTGACCACCATTCAAGCTTTCGCCAATTGTTTCTTCCTCAATGTTGTAATGTGGTTCTCTGACAAGGCAAATATCAGCTTTTGCATACTCTCTCCTTGCATTTTCATACACAAATTGGTCAGGCGGACAAACCGAACTTCCAGTTTTCATCTTCAGTGTATCAAAATTAATTGTAGGTCCTGCAATTGAAGATTTTGCACTTTCTCTGCAAGCATTGTCATCAACAAACTGGTCTAAACAATCCAAACTTAATGTTTTCAACTTCTGCATATCCATATTAATTGTAGGTTCTGCACTTTGTCCAATTGCAATCTCATCCACAAACTGGTCAGGAAGACAGTCCAAACTTCCTGTGTTTGCCTTCTGTATATTTATTTTAACTGCAGGTTCTGTAATTTCAACCTCTACACGTGCTTTCTTCTTGCTACACGTACTTGGTTCCTTCCGTGCATCAACCTGATCCCGTAGCTTGTCGATAGGCTGAACAGGGTAATCATTTTGGGTTGGCGACAGATCAACATTAAGAGGAGTAAATGGGTCTCTCAGGGGATTAGATTGCAAAATTCGCTTCTTCAACAAAGATAGAGAAGCGAATGGACTTCTTGGAGGGGTTGGTGAAGCTACAGAACTGGTTTGATTCTGTGCCACCTGTCCATGTTCAGTAAGTGGTTCCCTACTTACACTTCTCAGCAAACTATTTGTGACCTGTGAAGTCTTACGAGGCTTTGACAAACTTTCTTTCAAAGCCAAAAAATCAGTCTTTTTGACATCATAATATTTGGGTATGCAAAGGCCATCCAGGTCAAGTGGTTTGATCTGAAACATCTCCTGCAAGATATTCAAGGCCCCATCCCCATCCAAATCTTCCTCATTACAAGATAGCAATTCATCTAAAACACCATTCGCTTTATTCCCTGTCTTCGATACTGATTCTGTTAAATTGAATTAAACATTATGTTAATATGAGAAGAAAATCCATTTGCCAACTAGGCAAGCATACATCCTTATGGCAATTGAAACCAAACTAAAAGAAGTTCGCTGACATGGACATGGACATGGACATTGACATTGAACACATTGCTATATTGAGAAGATCCACTCACCAACCAATTCAACTTCCTGTTGTAAGTCATGATTAGGAGTGTCCAGAACATCCGTCTGCACTGTTTCTAGGGAGGACATTAGCATCTCATCGTTTTCACAAGGCACTGATGAGTAACGGTGCTTATAACTATATGATTTCCTGTAATGAAAAATAACTAGCTTAAAGCAGGCAATATAAAAACCAAATCCAAGATGACTTGCTAGTTGCAGTAAATTTCAGAACACCCATTAATCAATACGACTGACTATACCCCAAAATTCCTGGTCTGTGATGACGTGTATTAGTTGATGTTTTGTATTCATTCAAATTGTTCATAATGCCACCCTGCTGTCTTTGTATTTCCTTTTTGGCATCTGCAAAATCAATTAGTATGAGGTTGTTATACTAAAACAAATGCATCATAATAATTGACTGGGAGAAATATGATGGAAATTACATTCAAGCTTTTCATAAGCATCGAAAAATTCGTCAGGATCTTGCAACCGGTCAATGTTCAAACTTGATTCCAAATTCACAGAAGGCTGACTGTTAACACACAAAACATTATTACTAATTTAGGAATAAATCTCCAAATGTGCATTATACATAAGTAAAAAATTAAGTCGATGAGCTTTAGTCTCCACCTAGCACTAGGCTTCAAAGAAAATCGAGCCCGCTTACGCACAATGCCCAGGCCTTGCCTTCGTTCTTGAGGTTTGTCCTTGCCCTTTATGATGACTTCATCAGTGGGGTCCGCAATTTCTGCAAATCTAGTTAAATTGGTGTCCAGAAGTTCCACTCCCCCATCCACTATTCTCTTTGCTTCATTCATAAGCTTTACAGGACTCCTTAAATCCTTGTGTACATCCAGAGGAAAAGAAACATGCATGGTAATTTAATTACTCTCCAAACAACCTCAAAACTAGTGATTTAATTAAATCAGCCAAGACTAATGCCTAGGATTTTACAAATTATTAATTCATGTCCATATATATTTATATTTTCTTTCGCTAATTGAACTCCAAGACCTTGATTCTTTGCATGACCTAGGCTTTGCAAACATTTTCCCGCAAAAATGTACAAAACAAAAAAAACAAAAGCCCAAATGTTTTCCAAATTTTCACAGAAATAAATTAGTATTAACCTGCAGAAACAAATTACAGTCACCACAAAACACTATGGTAACTCTCTCTACCCAACACATCAGCCTCCTTTACTCGAGCGGAAACACAAAACTCGGACATTTCAACTAATATTAGTAAAAACGGCGTTTTAAATTAATTTTTTTATAAAGAAAGAAATAATTATCGTTTCGCAAGCATACACTAGAACGAGCGTAAATTTGAGTTTCTACCATCATAGAACTCAGCTGAGACAACTATTAAAAAAATTAAATAAAAAAGAGTGACTTCAAGTACCAGAGACTTCATGAAATGGTGAATCGAATTTAGGTCTTTAGAGTCAGAGGGAATTGGACAGTTGGTTGAAGCCCTAATCGTACGGGGGAAGAGCGAGGGTCCGATTAGACCTTGCAATGGGTCCATAGAGTCGGAGATCAGTGAGTTGCTCGCCATTTTTAGCCGTGTTTCAGCGTTTCGAGGGGTTTTCGGCGGTGGGGGGAGGGCGGAGAAAGGCGTTGGATGGTTGGAATTCAAATTTTAGGACTGATTCGAACGCAGAGACCGAGCGGGATTGTGAATCACTCTTGTGCGCTTGTAACGATTTCAGAAAGCGCATTACAGACATCATGAATTGCAAGTTTTGCATTTTGTTTGAACACCATTTTTTTTTTATAATTTATTTTTCCAAAACCCGTGTTCGACCACACATTCTTCAATAAATTAAATATTAAATATAAATCGAAATTTTCTTCTTAATTCTTAACTGCACATTCTACAAAAATCATTATTTTTAAAAATATATTTTTCTTTCAAAATGGAGCTCAAATAATGGCATTTTTTTACATTTTTTTTAATTGGGGTCAATCACTCTGAAAAGACAAATTGCATATCTTTTCTTTCATTTCAGGAGAAATACTATCGACGGAGGCTAATTTAAAACCTTCCACAACCATACATTCAAACCTCATTTCTTACCATTAGCAAAATTTGTTTTAGTTGCTTATTCCAAGGAATTCGAATAACTGTTTCAAATATAATATCAAGAAGTATCGCTTATGGAATGTCAATATATATTTTTTATTTTTTTCTTTGGAACGGAATTTTTTCCTTTTTAATCTTTTTAAACCAACGATTCTACGAGTATACATAATTTTTTCTAACCCCCAAATAAAATAGATAAGCGTGGCTCTTACCATATAGCTTATTTCAATCCATAAAATTTTGAACGGCCCATAAGCTTGTTTGCAAAAAATTTCGAGATTAACCTTTTATTTGGTAGAAATTAAAATCAAGATTTTAATTTAAAATCAAATCAACGTCAATAAATAATTTTAATCACATATTTTATAGGATCTACAACTTTTCATCTATATATTTCTTCAATTTTTATAAAATTTTACTAAAATTTTAATTTTAATTCCCACCAAATAGATTCATATTTAAAAGATACTTTGAAAGACAAATTACTCCATAGTTCTGAAAAACAAAAGAAATAAAGAAAAGAGCAAACATAGAAAATTCCCATTCCTTCCCTCTCCCACAAAAGTAGTACCTTTGTACAATACTCATCCCCTTAACCCTAGAGGGAAAGGTATGGCTTATGTGGTGCTAAAAGTCATAAAGATGACGCGTGACTAATTGATGTACTGTTTAGTATAACATGTATCATAGTCAGCTATAAATATATGAGTTTATCGAATACGCTATAGAGGCATTTCGGGGCCATACGAACCAATATGGTTCGAAATCTGGAATTGACTGTCTCGTGATTAAAATTAAAAGTTATTGTTAAGAAAAAAAGAAAGCGTTTTGCTAACATTTTAGACATTTTCCCCTGGCCAAATTAATTACTAATTTTATTCCCAAAATTTGTGCGGGCCTAAGATGTTCGTATCATTTGTTCATAGTGGTCCAGTCTTAAAATATCTGCTCTAATGGACCACTTTGATCCACGTAGCTTAGATCATGTCCACAGCTAGAATATCCAAGTCCAATTTTAAGGGCCGTAGGTTTGTCAATTTCCCTATGGGAAAGAAGTGATGATTGGCGTACCGAAGAATTTTCGCAGGGGCTTTACAGATCACAAATAAGGGGTGAGTGGGTTAATTTTTGGCCCTTTTTTATTCAGACACAACTCACCTTTGTGAGTTATTTGGCCGGGTTCTGTGCAAGAGGAAAATTCCATAGGAAATT